GAAACTCCGTCCCAAAAAAAAAAAACAAAAACAAAACAAAAACAAAAAACAGTTGTGACCTTTACCTGCTTTTCCTTGGGAAGGAACATTTTATGAATTTCAGCTTAGCTTGAACTCTTCTGTTTTCCAAATGGAGTGTTTTGTTGTTGCTGTTGTTGAGCTCAAAGATAATAACATGAAGCCACTTGAGCATCTTGGCCGCAAACTAAACAAAACAGAAGTCATCCTGGCGGTGGCACACGCCTGCCATCCCAGAACTTTGGGAGGCAAAGGCCGGGAGGATTGCCTAAGGCTGGGAATTCCAGAGCAACCTGGACAACATAGCGAGATTCCCAACTCTACAAAAGTTTTTAAAATTAGCCGGGTATGGCGGCTTGCACCTGTAGTCTCCGCTATTCAGGAAGCTGAAGAAGGAGGATAGGGGAGCTCAGGAATTCAAGGCAGCGGTGAGCTATGATGGATCACATCACTGTACTCCAGCCTGAGTGGCAGAGGAAGACCCTGTCTCTAAAAACAAAACGAGACAAAGAATAATGGAAATCATTTTAAATGAATCATCTGTTAGGTTCAGATTTTACAGTTCTAAGGCCAGGAAGAAAAGGGAACATGATCTCTGGTATTCTAACAAAAGCCCCGAAAAGTTCAGATTATCAGCCTATCTGTAGATAAGGATTAGAGAAGGCAAGTGGCTTACTTAAGGGTTTTCAGCCTGTGAGCACCAAGACCAGAATACAGGCCTGGGTAGTGAGCCCAGTCTCACTGAGCACCCTCTGCTCAGCCTGCCTGTCAGGGCCGTGCGTGGGGAGCACCAGAAACTTCCATGGAGAAAATAAGTGACTCTGCTCATCACCTAGAGAGTGGGGCTTGCAGACATTTTGGCATGCTTCCTTCCTGTCTTTTTTCTAGGCATACATGTATATTTTACACGGTTGAGATTATACTGTATAGAAAAGTTTGCCCATAGCCACTCTTGAAAGAGCAGCAGGTAACATCCAGGTTGGTTTCTAAGGACTAGGCTGCGCCAGAATTCAGTTTCGAGTGCTCAGAATGGCCAGACTGCTGCCATAAAGCAGGTGTTTCCAGAACTGTCCACTGTGTGCCGTAGGTGGTAGCTGGATGGAAAAGTTAGTGCTCACCGTTAGTGTTCACCACAGGTTCTGTTTCTGTGGGGAGGGTGTCTTGACATTCACATGGTTTGCAGAGCTTACTTATTTCTGTCTCCTTTTTTCTAATACTTTTCCTGTCCTGCCAAAAGAAAGTACATTTCCTGGTGGGAAAGGATGTGAGTTAAATGTGTATGATAATATGCATGATGTGGATCATTAAAGGGCTGAGCTTTGCAAAGACGATATGGATATGTGTGCACGTGAGTATATGTATTTTAAGAGGCCAGGGTATCCTCAAAGATTGGGGTGGCTCAGAAACCCTATCTGTATTACCAGTAATGGTTCTTAAGCTACAAGGAAACCTAGAGAGAGAGGAAGTGGAGAATAATTCCACATGCCTCTGGTGGGTAGCTTTGGAGGCAACTAAACTATGAAAGAAGCCCAGGAAGTCTGCCATTGCTTGCAGAATAGTACGTTATTGAGAGCGAGGGCTTTGATGTCAGCCCCACCTGCCCTGAGCCGCTTCCTCCTGCTCTGAGATTTCCTTTCCTCAGCTGCAGAATGGTCTCACCACTGAACGGATCTTACAGGGAGGCTGTGAGAGTTCTCAGAGCTCAGGCGCACAGAGCGTGTTGCCAGTGCACGGCATGTTCCTGTGAACGTGCTAGTCATTGGAGTCCAATCTCGGTGGGCCATAGTCAGCTCTCAGACCAGACCCCTGATGGGTATGTAGCATCTCCATGCTGCAGGACAGCTGGGGCAGCATGGTTGCCTATCAGAAAGTGTGTGTCCTGGCTTGTAAATGCATGGTATTTCTTAGTAGTGAATTATTAAGAAGTGAAGTTGTTAGAATCGGGGGATAGTAGCATAGCAGCATGCATTCCACTTTGAGATGCACTCTGTGTAGTAACCACAGCATTCTGTTTTGCTGGCGCTATACCAGGTCCTCTGCCACTGTGTCAGTGACAAGGTCACAGTTATTGGAGCTGGAATTACTGTGTACGAAGCCTTAGCAGCTGCTGATGAGCTTGCAAAACAAGGTCAGTTGGTTGTGTCTGAGCATTGAAGTTCGAGCTGGGAAGACTTAGGACTTCAGCTACCTCCTGTGCCCTGAGCGCTCTTTTTCTTTTTATCCCTGCATGTTCTTTATTCTAAGTCTGCTTGTACCAAGCTGGTTTTTGCTGTTCTGCAGATATTTTTATCCGTGTCATTGACCTGTTTACCATTAAACCTCTGGATGTCACTACCATCATCTCCAGTGCGAAAGCCACAGAGGGCCGGGTCATTACAGTGGAGGATCACTACCCACAAGGTGTGTGTGGGCATTAGGAATGCTCTGAAAAGTTCTGATGGGGAGTGTTTTTGTTTTCCTTTTTTTTTTGAGACGGAGTTTCACTGTTGTTACCCGGGCTGGAGTGCAATGGCACAATCTCGGCTCACCGCAACCTCCGCCTCCTGGGTTCAGGCAATTCTCCTGCCTCAGCCTCCTGAGTAGCTGGGATTACAGGCACGCACTACCATGCCCAGCTANTGAGTAGCTGGGATTACAGGCACGCACTACCATGCCCAGCTAATGTTTTGTATTTTTAGTAGAGACGGGGTTTCACCATGTTGACCAGGATGGTCTCGATCTCTTGACCTTGTGATCCACCCACCTCAGCCTCCCAAAGTGCTGGGATTACAGGCTTGAGCCACCGCGCCCAGCCTTTGTTTTCCTTTATTATTCACATGGCAGACTCTCAGGCGTCACCTGAGGTTTACATCTTACCTGCCATGCCTTTGTTGTTCAGTACTGACTAAGTGTGAGGCCGTGCTCGTACACCGGTGTGTCTCCAACAGTGCACAGTGCCCGGCCACCAGGGAGGGTCAGTGGCAACAGAGGAGTGGCCATTGCAGGCAAGAGAGGAGGCATGAAAAGCATCACAGTTTCTGTGGGTTTGGAATGATGAATAGTATGCCCCAGACAAGGCATGGTGGCTCACACCTGTCATCCCAGCATTTCGGGAGGCCAACACAGATAGATGACGTGAGGCCAGGAGTTCGAGACCAACATGGTGAAACCCCATCTATTCTAAAAATATAAAAATTAGTTGGGTGTGCTGATACAGGTTTATAGTCCCAGCTACTCGGGAGGTTGAGTAGCACGAGAATTGCTTGAACCCAGGGGGTAGAAGTTGCAGTGAGCCAAGATCATGCCACTGCACTCCCGCCTGGGCAACAGAGTAAGACTCTGTCTCAAAAATAAAAAGTGTGCCCCAACCAGAGAAGCGGGAACAGGATCTTTCAAGCAGAGAACACAGCAAGTGTAGAAAAAGGGTGTGCCAGGAGGAGAGGGCTGGGCAGTGTTTGGGCCTGGAAAGGTTAGGTGGGGCAGATGATGAAATACGAGGAGGAGCATCACGTGTTCATGTGGCAGGGGCCCCTAGCCTGCAGAAGTGGTGCCTGATTCTCTGGAAGGACTCCTAAGCCCCAGAACACAGTCACCCTTACAGCTGAGGTTGATGACAGGGAAAGGGCGCAGGGCAGGATCCACCAGGGCAGGAACCGTGGGCCAGGTGGAGTTGAAAGAAGTCCTGCTCCAGGCTCTATCCGGCCCCACGGGGCATAGTGAGAAGGGCCTCCCATGTAGGCTCTGTTTCTGCCCAGGGATGCCTGCTAGAGACTTGGCACCCCATGTGTTTGCTGGGGGCAGGTCCTGTTGGCACCCTCTGCCAAGCAGGTAACCAAATTCCTGGCTCCCAGCAGGAAAGCAGGTGCTCATGTCAACCACGTTGTTCCTACAAACAGTCCAGGTGCAGGACCACCCTGTCCAGTACGGAAAGCGTCACAGCTGCAAGGAGACCTTCAGCCAAGAGGCAGGCTTGCCAACCAGCAGCCTCAAGTCAGCCAGTCACTTCTGCACTGTTAACTTGTTAGTTTTAACCATTTTCAGGTCCCTGACAGCTTTGAAAATCGGAGTGCCACACTCAGGCAGCCCCTACTGTAGGCTGAGGCAGAGTAGTTTGGAAACCGGCAGTTCAGAATGAGAACTCAGGCCCGTCGGGGTGACTGTTCGCATGAATCAGATTTTCCCCTGGGAAGCCATAGATTCAAAGGCCTCTCCATGTTGGGGCTTTAAGACTGACTAGCTGCTTTCACAAAAGGGCCTGACGTCCTTGTTCCCCCAGGTGGCATAGGGGAAGCTGTCTACGCAGCCGTCTCCATGGATCCTGACATTAAAGTTCATTCACTGGCAGTGTCGGGAGTGCCTCAGAGTGGGAAACCCAAGGAATTGCTGGATATGTATGGAATTAGTGCCAGACACATCGTAGTGGCTGTGAAATGCATGTTGCTGAACTAGAATAGCTGTTGGCTTTAGACTTAAAAGGCCTGTTTACCCCACGTTTGTTTGTTCCAAAACCATCATTTACATCTATATTGTAATGCTTTGTTTCTTAAAAGCAAAGCTGGCTAACACCTTCCTTCATCCCTAGTTTGGAAATTCAAGCTAACTACTTATCTTTTAAACTGTGACTGCCTATGCAAATACCACAATAATTTTTGAATCATTAAAGGGAGTCATACAACGTTAAGTGAAAAAAATAGGTAGTAAAACAACCACCTGACAGTAAGTCTTCTGATAGCGCTATAGATGCATGGTAGAGGTCATAACCTTAATGTACTTCCTTCATGTGCAACTAGTAGAAGTAATCTTTTTTTAATGTGTAAGACTGTAGATAAGTGGTAGAGGTAATAAATTCTTCAGTGTATTTCCTTGATGAGTAACTTACATATAAGACTCTAGATAAATGGTAGAGGTAATTGTTTTCTCAATGTATTTCCTTCATGAGTAAAGAAAATGTGAACTGAAGTATAGATTGCAGTAGCCTAGGTTCCACAACACAATAACACCATGACACCTGCTGTTCCCACCTTGGGATTCTGTGTGCTGCCATCCAACCTGCAGCCTCCTGGGTAACGGTGTGACTGCAGCTGCCCTGGAATTCACTTCACTGTTTGCCTTCATCTCCCCTCTGCTGTTGAGAGCCTGTCAGGCAGCAGCGAAAGCTTGTTGGGATGTCCTGTGCTGCTTGTGTGACTGCTCTGTGAAGCGATGAGAGCACACTAGTTCTGGCCTCTACACTGTACTGTTCAAGTTGGTAATAAAGCATTTCAAAACAGCTGCCTTGTTCAGGACATGCTTTCTGTGCAAATCAGTTTCTCAATGGTCAGTTCCTAAATAAGGAAAAAGCTTTTATCTAAACCAGAAGGAGAATGAGCCGTGGCCCACACCAGTAAACCTGGAAAAGAATAATGGGCTGCAGATGAATCACTCACTAGAGAACAACACGTGGCCTGAAGAGCTGTCCCTGAGCTGATGCCTTCCATCAGCTATAAGCACATACAACTATGTGGCTAGAGGCGAGGCATATTGGTTCATGTCTCTAATTCCAGCACTTTGGGAGGCCAAGGCTGGTGGATCACTTGAGGTCAGGAGTTCAAGACCAGCCTGGCCTACATGGTGAAACTTCTCTATACTGAAAAATACAAAAATTAGCCAGACATGATGGTGCGTGCCTATAATCCCAGCTACTCAGGAGGCTAAGGCAGGAGAATTTGCTTGAACCCAGGCAGCGGAGGTTGCAGTGAGCTGACGTCCTGCCGTTGCACTGCAGCCTGGGCAACAGAGCAAGACTCCATCTAAAAAAAAAAAGAAAGAAAAAGTATGTGGCTGGAACAAAATGCCAGCCATAAAAAGATGAGCCTTAACTTCAAAATGGGATTTAAAATTCTACTAGATGTGTCCGCTGTGTCACATTCCTGTTTTGGCTTTGCTTTTGTTTTGAGACAGGGTCTTACTATGTTGCCCAGGCTGGTCTGAAACTCCTGGCCTCAAGTGATCCTCATGCCTGGACCTCCCAAGGTGTTGGGTTTGGAATTACAGGCATGAGCCACCATGCCCAGCCCACTCCTCATTTTTATTGCCCAAATTAAGTGATCAGAGATCTTTGGATTATCAGCAGTATCACTGAGGAATTGTTCTAGAATGTGGGGGATAAAGATGGAAGCACTGGGCTGGGACCTGGAGTCCTCAGGGTCTCCACCTAATCCTGCTCTTACAAGGCACTGAGCTGGTTTCCTGGCCTGTAAAATGAGCATGATGATGGCTCTGCTGATTTCGTAAGATTTCAAATTTTATTTTGTAAAAATAGTTTCTATAGGGTGATTGCAGAAAATTTAGAAAATGCAAAGAAGCAAAAAATTTTTTGCCTCACCTCACTATTTCAAGGTAATCACAGCTTCTCACACTCAAGACAATTTTACTCATTTAAAGTGTACAATTCAGTGGTTTGCATTCTTTCTCTGGCCATGTACTATTCTATTATATGGATGGAACACATTTTATTCTTCCATTCAGTTGATGAATGTGGATTAGTTCCACTTTTGTCTCTTATGAATAGTGTTCTGACAATTCACATATTTTGTGAAGATGTAGATTTCACAAACTGTGAAAGATGTTGTGTAGATGTAGGTCTTCCCTTCTTAGGGATGTGTATACTAGGAGTAGAACTGAATTGCTGTGTCGTCGGATAATTCTATGTCCCCTTCGAGCGTCTGTGGTGGAAGGTGGTGTTTAAAGAGTTTTGTGAGGAGTCGATGGAGTGACGCTGAAGGTGCTGTGCCATCTGAAAGGCATTACTTTAGAGGAAAGCATTATTTTTTTTATTTTTTTGTTTTGTTTTTTAGTTCTTTGAGGAAGGCATTCTTAACAGACAAAAGTCATGCTTGCTTGTATTCAGGTGCAAAATGTCGGATTTGGTGAGATCACAGGACTGCTGCACGTAAGTGCAGTGTGGCAACAAATAGAGCAACTAATTCCATGATGAAAAAGTGCAATTTCTAAACACAGCAAAGAGCCCCCAAAGCCTCAGTTCAGCCCCCTAGAAGGTTCTAGGCAGAAACAGGACAAATGAAAGTAATGAGAGCACAGGCTCCATGATCACCCAGTGAGGGGCGTGAGCCCTGTTGCCAGCTTGGTCTGGCTGTGACTTCTGAGTAAACAAGTGTGTGTTTCTGAACTGTGAGGAGCCTGGTGATGAACACTCCCTGGAAGATACTGTGGACCCTGGCCTTGGTCCAGCCCCTCGCCCTTGAGTCCTAACATCTTTCTGCTCTGATTATTTCCCATGAATAAACCACCCAGCAGAGGCTCCAGTACCATGTGCCTCGAAACCTGGCTTGAATCCTCATATCTGCTTCTTACCCGTGGGGCCTTGTGTAGCTGTAGAAGGGGATGATGGTGGTGATGACAGGGACAGTATCCCACAGTGCTGTGGTCAGGATGTTAGTGCCATCATTTCAAAACACCCTTGCAGGCCTGCTCTGCATACCTGGCAGCTTCCTACTCCCCAGCGCACCCTCAGCTGGCTCGCCCCATTGGCCCCTCTGCAGCCTCCTTACCCACCTCACTGGGGTTATGCTGAGGCTGGCAGTGACCCACCCACCTGTCTGCTCCCAAAGGGTGAGCCTGGGCTGAAAGGGCTGACACTGGATGGGCAGGGAGTGCTGGAGGCCTGGCGCAGAGGGCTCACCAGGTGCTACCTGGAGGGCATGGCTCCTACCTGTGGGCCAACGGTGGCAGGAGGAGTGGTGGCCTGGGTGGAGAAGGGGACAGGTGTGGTGTGGGTGGAGGCATGCAGCCCGGACCCTCCTGGTTGCTGACTCAGGGAGGAAAACCCTGGAGAGCTAGGCACTCACCTTCAGCCTCGGAGCCCACCCTCCCCGGGGAAGCCAGGAGAGGTTCTACCACTTTAAGAGGCCTCCTCGCCCTGCCAGGCCGAGGTCAGGTTTACAGAAGCTGGGACGTTAGATTCAGGAGGGCTGAAATGATCCGACGTGTCACTCTGTATTTGGGTGAGGAAGCTGAGCACGCAGAGTTACAAACCGCTCAGGGCAGGACCTGGGCTGCACCTGGTATCAGGGCCCACCTGAGAGTCTCTACCTCCCTAAGTGTACCTGTCCCCCGGAGCCTGGTGAGATTGGACGCTAGTTGTGGATGTAAGGGCAGCAATCTAGTTGTGGAGGGTCTCCTTGATGATACGAGTGTGCGTCCCCTGGCAAGCTTGTGACAGAGTTCTCCCAGACAGTGGAGGTCAAGCCACCTACACTACCAAGGGAGGCTCGGAGGGATTAGGGGCTTCTGGAGTCTCAGCTTCAACTGAGGCCAACCAGATGGCCCAATTCCAGGATTCAGGGTCCCATTCCTCCAAAATCACTCCCCATGATTCATGTGGGAAGCGTGGCAAGGCTGGGAATTCATAACTGTGGGAATCTGTAACCGGCACAGTCAAATGTGTTTGGTTGTCAGAGCCGTCAGCCCTGTAGGTACAAGGAGTAAGGGAATTATGAGGGCTTTCTTGGAAGCATCCTAGTTCTACTGTGGCTTGACCTGAGAGGGAGCCTGAGCTCATTGCATCTTCATCGTACATGGGCCCACTTAGGATCTTCCATACCACAGCCCTCATAGCTATCTGTGACCACCATGACAGTCAGGTGCAGCAGGGACCTGAGCTCCCAGATACTTGCTTCCGTTGACCCATCATCCCAAGCAACCGGAGTGACAGGCCGTGGATGGCTCGTGCCCCACTTCCCAGTGGGAAAAAATGCTCAACCCTGCACTCCAGCCCAAAGGCAGAGCCAGACCAATCCCCAAACTGTGTGCATAGCCCTATCTTCTAGAACTTCACCCAGGGCCAGTTCTAAATTAGGAACCAGTTAGAAGACAAAAATCCATACCTAGTATCTCAAGAAAGGAAATTGAAAGCGTGTTTACTTGGGGTTTGAGGGCTAAAAGTGCAAAAGGGACACTGAAGTAACAGAGTTGGTGAAGGAAGAAGCTACAACCCTCAGAGTGAGGGGGCAAAAATAAAGATGTTGGGGTGACCGGGAGTCGCAGTGAGCCTGGGAACACGGAAGGCTTGGGCTCAGGACTCCAGGGAGGGGCTGCTGCAGAGCATCAGAGGAGGAGGAAGCAACATGGTCTAAGAACGGGGTAGGAGGAAGTGTCTGTGGCATCATCCTCCAGTTCACTCATTCTGTCTTCAGTGGCATCGATTTGTTGTTGAGTCCATCAGATAAGATTTTCATTTCAATGACTAGGCTTGTGTACTTCTACAAGTTCTGCATGCTGCTTTTTCAAATCTCTCCCTGGATTAAACTAACTCTTCTGATTT